TGCAAGCATTCTTATTAAAAATACGAATTATAGCTGAAGCACCTAAGGCTCCTAAATTGTCAAAAAAATATCGAAGAATTGCTACCAGTAACATGTTATTACCGTTACTATTTACAGTACTGTACAAAATTTAAACAGCTTTCTATACCTAGTTTTAAAAATAATTAAAAAAATGCGCGTGTGTCGAAGTAAACGCGGCAACGTCGCAATTATGTAGCTTTGATCACAATCGACAATAATTGAAAATAATCGAACTCGTAAAATACTTTTTTCTACTCCCACCTTTAAAACGCCCTTTATCGTATACATGTTTCCATAACACTAAGTGACCTTTTAAATACACATTGACAAATTGTGGCCTTACGGCGCTTTAGTCACGGGCTGAAGTTAGCAACAGGTTTTTAGTCACGGGCTGAAGTTAGTTGACAGTTGTCAAATGTCATACAATCGTTAAAATAAAGTGCCTTTCTTGTAAAATAATACTAAATGTGAAAATTATTTTTTTATCTCAATACAAAAATATTAAATAGCCAATATTTGAAAAGTTTATATGAACGTTGTACTGACCCCTTTTAATTTCGCCGGCAATAAACTATAACTTAAATTCGGGCACGGACTCTACTGTAAAGTCCTCATAAAACATTTCCTTTACTTTCACTGTGAAAAACTGTCAATTCTCAAGATACATTTCGATTTATAACCTTTATAATTGTGTTTATAAAATGTAAAAATGTGACATTTGACAGTTTCCCCTGTTGTTTCATAGATGACGCTCTATACAAATTTTTGATTTAAATCATTTTAAGATAATAAGTATTTGTCGTAGAAAAAGTATAGTATGCACCTCGTTTATAAACTTTTCTATACATTCATTAACTTAAGCACTCGCTCGCAAGCTCGCTCGTGCCTAAATTAAATTCGTGTATAAAATGGCGTTTATCAAACTTGATACATAATATATATATCTATTTTGCGTTCATAATGACTTTATTATAACACCGCTTTCGGTGCTGCAATGAGATACTTTATCCCACCCAAAATTTTAATTTTCTAAGTTGGCTATACTTTAAACAGCATAATATTTTGCATATTGGTTATAATTTTTTTATGATTTTTCTAGTACTTACAAGACTTTTCTGGCAATAAATTTTGTTTAACACCAAAGAAAATCCTTTTTTTCTTCTTTAACATTAACAGCCGCTTATTGTAAATAAGTAGGTAAATTAAGGACGTCATGGCGAATCGATTTTAACATTAACTGTCAAACCAATGACTGTGATACCAACTATCTAAAGTTAAATTCGACCAAATTAAATTTAAGGTATAAAATTAATTTTTTTATAGATTTTTTGCAAAATAGATAAAATAGCATAATAGCATGTCATAAGACCTTTTGTCGCACTCGTCCATTATAAATTGTCCGTGTGCGACAAAATGACGTCTAATGACATTAGTTCTTTAATATACTATTAACTGACAGTTGTTTACAGATCAAATTTTGCACCAAAAAATACCTCTTCTTTCTTCTTAAACCAACGGATTTTCATCTGTTTTTGAACAAACAGAATGTAATCCATTATAACTTTGAATGAGCCTTTTCGTATAGACTTTTTATTGGGGGCATGTTTAATTGTTGACCCTAGATGTGCAACAAATATCAGAAACAAAAAACAGCCTTACTTTCGTTTGGTGAAAACTGCCAACGCAACTGTGCCATCACGTGATGTAGATTGCAACGTTGCCGCTTATTTTCGCCTTGTTTCTATTGTCAAATTGCAATAGGCAATTGCAGCCTAAGCCTTATTTTGTATTTACTTCTATAATAACCTTTTTTCTTCATCTCAAAGAATCCAGGTAACAAGTTACTAATTTTGCCCCAGATAATACCTGATAAGGAATAACAGGAAATAATTTATCTTTAATTGCTGAACCATAGCAAATGCAAAACGAAAATAATGCTTGAAGCCTTGAACGGTGTGTGTTCTTTAATAAAATGTATACTTACCATTTATTTTATATACCATTTGATTGGGGTTAAAATAAAACAGTTCATAAATATATTGCTTATTTATTAATTATAATAATAAAGACTCGTCACTTAAAGAACGTATAAAATCTATATTCACAAAATATTTAGCCTAACGTAGGGGTGCGTTTTTCAATTCATGTTGTATTCTATTTATATCTTATACATCGAAAAAATTAATTACAAAAACCCAAAAAATAATAATACAGAAAAGTCGTAGATTGCATCACAGGTTCAAAAAATTTACAAACAATTCAAATCCAAATCTATTATTATTATTATTATTGTTTTCTTTGTTCAGTGATTCACTTGTGATTGTTTTATTTTGACAGACTTGGTCTTGAAATTTTTTTGTTTTGTTGATGATGATGAATCACCCTGTATAATTAAGTACTACGAGGCCATGACTAACGAAAAGTTTTCGTTCTAAAATTTACATTCATCAGAGCGCCACTATAAAAATCGCTATTATAATTATTTATTTTTGTTCTATGTACACTTTTTTAATTTTTATATTGGATCTCTTTCAGATATAATAATCTATTCGTTATTCTTAAAAATACACACCTAAGCCAACCTTAGGCAAATAAATTACAGTATTTACAAGATATATATAGTTAAAAAGTAATGAGATATTATGCGAAATTATATAATACTAAATTACAGCAGAAGTAACATGGATCACCTGCATTTTTAGCTAAAACCAGGATAAATAATAAATATACAATAATATGAAAACTAAAAAGACAAGTGAAATTATAATTGCACTTTCGAAAATAAATATTAAGTAAATCAATCTGATTATATGCGCGACAAAAACTGCTTTATTTACAAGAAATAACAATGTTTTGGGATAAAATTTACATTAATAAAACACGATTTTTCTGATTTGAAGAAAATATTATGTTAGTCATGTTTTAAATGATGTTTGGATGCACTTTCTAAAATTTGATTTTACTGATTTGGTGTTTGAAACACAAAACTTTAAAATTTGATGTACCTATAGTAAACTTTAAACATTTCTAAATATGATTTTAGTTACTTGCAAGTAACACCATGGTGTTTAAAACATTGATTTTTCAACGGAATGATGATGTTTAAAAAACATTGTGGTCGACAATGTTTTGAATGAAAAATAAAAGTTGATTTTACTAATTTGGTATTTGAAACATAATTTTTTCCACAAAATGATCAGGTTTGAAGTTTAAATGATGTATAGGTGAATAGTAATAGTAAATGATGTATAGGTGTTGTATAGGTGAATAGTAAACTTTACACATTTTTAAAGATTTAAATGAATTGGTATTTGAAACATCATTTTTTCTAAAAAAATAATAAGGTTTGAAGTTCATACTTTAAAATTTTAAATGATGACTTTCTAAAAGTTGATTTTACTAATTTGATATTTGAAACATATTTTTTCCGCAAAATAATAAGGTTTGAAGTTCAAACTTTAAAATTTTAAATGATGACTTTCTAAAAGTTGATTTTACTAATTTGGTATTTGAAACATAATTTTTTCTGCAAAATGATCAGGTTTGAAGTTTAAACTTTAAAATTTTAAATGATGTATAACTTTACACATTTTTAAAGATTTAAATGAATTGGTATTTGAAACATCATTTTTTCTAAAAAATAATAAGGTTTGAAGTTCAAACTTTAAAATTTTAAATGATGACTTTCTAAAAGTTGATTTAACTTTTTTGGTATTTGAAACATAATTTTTTCTGCAAAATGGTCAGGTCTGAAGTTCAAACTTTAAATATTTAAATGATGTATAGGTGAATAGTAAACTTTACAAATTTTTTAAGATTTAAATGAATTGGTATTTGAAACATCATTTTTTCTAAAAAATAATAAGGTTTGAAGTTCAAACTTTAAAATTTTAAATGATGACTTTCTAAAAGTTGATTTTACTAATTTGGTATTTGAAACATAATTTTTTCTGCAAAATGATCATGTTTGAAGTTCAAAATTTTAAATGATGTATAGATGAATAGTAAACTTTACACATTTTTAAAGATTTAAATGTAGTGGTATTTGAAACAACATATTTCTACAAAATATTAAGGTATGAAGTTCAAAATTTAAAATTTTAAATGATGACTTTCTAAAAGTTGATTTTACTTATTTGGTATTTGAAACATAATTTTTTCTGCAAAATTATCAGGTTTGAAGTTCAAACTTTAAAATTTTAAATGATTTATAGGTGAATAGTAAACTTTACACATTTTTAAAGATTTAAATGTATTGGTATTTGAAACATCATATTTCTACAAAATATTAAGGTATGAAGTTCAAAATTTAAAATTTTAAACGATGACTTTCTAAAAGTTGATTATACTTATTTGGTATTTGAAACATAATTTTTTCTGCAAAATGATCAGGTTTGAAGTTTAAACTTTACAATTTTAAATGATGTATAGATGAATAGTTAACTTTACACATTTCTCTAGATTATTTCAGTTACTTGGTGTTTTAAACATTGATTTTCCTCAAAATGATGAAGTTTAAAGAAATATTGTGGTCAAAAATGTTTTTAATTTGATTTTAATGATTTGCTATTTAAAACATAATTTTTTTTACAAAAAGGTAAGGTTTGAAGTTAAAACTTTGAAATTTTAAATGATGTATAGATGAGTAGTGAACTTTACACATCTCCAAAGATTATTTTAGTTTCTTGGTGTTCAAAACATTGATTTTTACTCACAATGATGGAGTTTAAACACATTGTAGTCGACAATGTCTTTAGTTTGAAAAAAGAGGTTTGAACCCTAAAAGTTATGTTTTGTTTAATGTTTAAATGCACGTCCAAAACATTGTTTTTTTCGCAAAATGAAAAACTGCTCGAAAACTTTGTACTTACACAATCAGATTGCTTGAAACGTTACTTCCATCGATATGTACACACTTAACGTTCTACATGATCACAATTATTGTACTTGGGCACTTGAACCTCTCCGAACCCAAATCACTAGACCATCTGGTTCATGTAGTCCATGTTACTGCAATCGCTCGGATGTCGCGGACTGAAGTTCTGATGGGACGCCGCGGTCGAGCTCATTCCCATGCCCGAGTAGCCCGCCATCTGATAGGAACCGTTCATGTGGTTCGGGATCTGGATCTGGTTCTGGGCGCTCTGATTGAAGTAGTCCATCTGCGTGTAGTACGCCGGGTTGTAGTTGTTGTGGTTCGGGTAGTGGCTGTAGTGCGGGGACGTGTTATGGCTGTTACCGTGCCAGTTAAACCCGTTGTAAGCCGACTCGTGCTGATAGGGGAACGGCGGGTTACTGCTGGGGGTTATCGGAGGACTCGGGGTCGTAATCACGCTGGAGGTGTTGCTCCCCAAAGGCGTCAGGTTGCCGTTGGTTCTGTACGCGTGAGCGTTGATGTTTGGCGACTCTTTTTTCACGTTTACCGGTGGCGATGATGAGGTAGCTGGTGTGGGAATTGTCGTGGATGCTGGTGGTACCTGAGGTACCGTTTGTTGACGCGGTACCGGTGATGGTTTGCTGGTTTTTACTTTTTGAGGTCTTGCACTCTGTTTGCTCTGGTTTTGCTGCTGTTGGGCTTGCTGGCGGCACTTTGCCCGGCGGTTTTTGAACCAAACCTGAAAGAAAGAAAAACAATGTTTAGTTTAATATTAAATTTGGTTTTATTTTCTATTAGCTTATGACCCACATTCTCAATTATTCTTTTGGTTTCTTGGACTTTTGATTGATGTTTAAGCACTTTGTGTTTTGGTTTTGGTGTTGAGGAATATTCCTAATATTGGATTGAACATATCACTAAAGTTGTTAAGATGCATAGTATACTTTCCACATTCAACTGATTTTGTATTTAAAAAACCATAAAATGAAAATGTTTGAATTCAAATCATTGAACTATAAATACTATGTTTATGTTGTTAAATATTTGTTTATCAATGTAAATATGAGGGATGTATCAACAGTATAAATTGTGGATCGTTTATGTATTTGGTAAATATTCGTTTAAAATAAAGCGTATTGTTTGTTTTTTCATCGTCAATCCGAATTTAAGTCTATCCATAACCGAATTAACCGATTTAATTTATATACAAAAATCATCCTAATATTTTGTACGATTGAAAAGGCATTTTGCATTACTTCCTCCTGATTGATTTTCCTTTTGACAAAGACACCCAATGGCAACACAAAACGAAACATATATAATAGAATGCCTAGAGAGAGAAAGAACTTTCCCCTGTAAGTTTTGCGCGATAATAGCTGTTTTATTAGTTAGGTATATTCTACATGCTAGAAACGGGATTTACAACGGAGGGGCGGAGAGAGTGCCGGAACCGACCCCAGTTAATCCTCCGGGGCTAATGGAAAACGTACCCCCGGACCCATTGTGCGGATGCATTGAATAAAATATATATTTAATCGTCTAGCTGCAGATTGGGGAAGGCTCCCTCCCTAACCAACTTTGCTTTTGTTGTTTTTTCCCCATTCACGGAACGCGCATCTGATTTTGCAACTGTTGTGCAGTATAAAGGTGTAACGCCATGTTGTAATTATCGCGATGCGTGTTTATTGCTACAAGTTTTTTATGGTTGTTAGGTTTAAATACGAGTTTACAGACCACGATTTAAAAGATAACGATAAAGTTTTATGGTTTTTACAGAGTAATGATATTCAAAAATATATGAGGAAAGTAATTAAATTAATGTATTAAAACCTGCTATCATTAGCTATAACGAGAATAAAACTAAATATATTATGTATAATACTATGAAATATGTCATGTCATCAATCTCCTTACAAAATGAAGCACATTGGAATAAAATAACAACGATTTGGGATGATGTTTAAAAGCACAGTATATTTTGTACATTTCCAAAGATGATGTTTCCACAAAATGAGGATATTTGAAGAAACATTAAAGAAGACAATGTTTTGGAATGATGTTTGGATGCAACGTATTCTTCTAAAAAATTTTAAATGGCAGTGTGAGCTTGGTTTATGTGAGATAATGGAATGAAGCTTCACTTGGAATTAGAGCTTCCTATAACGATTTAGGTATTCTAAAAAGTTATCCAAACAAGATCAGTGAAAAAACGTACACTGCTTTCAAGAAGCATCATTGGTTTCTTTCAGAGCACTTAATAGATTTGAACTTTTTGGCGGAAATTTCTATAAAAACTAAAGAAATTTTGGTAAAAACCTAAAGCTATCATTATGAAATTACTCAACTTTTCCCGAAAAACTTAAATTATCTCTAATGATTCATGTGCCTAAAACAGGAGACCAACAAAATATTGAAAACTTCAGACCAATTTCACTTCTTAGCTCCATATAAAAAATATTGGAAAAATTTGTTGCAAACATACTTTATGACTACCACTATAAATTCAAACTAATTTCTAAATGTTAATACGGATATCAAAAACGACTTACAACAGTCACTACAGAATTTACACAACATATAAATAAAAAAGTAGATGAAAGTAATATAGTAGAAGAAATATTTTTGACTTTTCTAGAGCATTCGATACACTTAATACAGAATTTTTGTCTAATAACCACAAAACCTTGGTATACGGAAACATATAAACAAATTGCTGATATCATACGTGTCCAATAGACAATTTTATATTAAGATGAATGAGGAAAATTCAAAGATATATACGCACTTTGCACGGTGCTGTTCTGAGAGGTGATTTTTGGACTTTTTGTAAAACCTAATTTTTTTTATATTCTTGTTAATTAGATCATAACTAAAATTTTAAGAGCAAAATAAAAAAAAATTGACGGTTAATTTTGTTTTAATTGGATGTTTATTAAAAATATGTATACATATATGCATAAATGCACACTTTCAATTCTCCAATTAAAACTTGCGATTTTATTTAAATATTATCATAACTTTTTAAATCAGATTAAAGATTAGTTAATTTCCTAAAAAAAGGTCTATACATTTTTTATATCTTTTACTGTTTTTTTTGTAATACACGTTTAAAGTTTTAATTTAAGGTTAAATGTATAGTATACATTTATTAAACAATAATTCTAAGGGTGCCACATTTTATTTAGGGCCGATTTATTCATTTTTTATTTATTTGACGAATAATTTCTTTGGATACTAGATATTGCCAAGACATGAAAGTTATCGGCCCGATAAACTTTACTAAAGATGAATAAACCGTTCCTTAGTTAAATTTCATGAATTTCTTCGTAACTTTTACTACAATTTTTTATTTTTGTTTATAAAAAACACTTTAAAAAACTAAACAAAAATTATAGAATACGTATACTGAAAATGACAATTCAAACGTCAAATAAATTTTTAATAGATCTAAGTTTCATGGCAACCTTTAAGGATATATTAATTAAGGGAACATAAATGTATACGTCAAAGGTTAGATTAAAAATTTAAACGTTTATTGCAACAAAACAGTAAAATATATTAAAAAAATTGTAAAAACCATTTTTTTAGTTATGCAAATATTAAATATTTAAATTAAATTGGATAATTGAAAGAGTGCATAATATTTTTAATAAACAGCCAATTAAAACAATTCAAACCGTCAAATTTTTTTTATTTTCCCCTTAAAATTTTAGTTATGACCTAATTAACAAGAATATAAAAAAAATTAGGTTTCACAGAAAGTCCAAAAATCACCTCTCAGAACAGCACCGTGTTTGGTACACCTCAGGGTAGTACTCTGGGTCCCTTGTTATTTATATTGTTTATTAATGATCTCCCCAAATACATCAATGTGGGAAAACTGTTTGTGTTTGTTGATGATGTAACTATTATTGTATATGGCAAGACCGAAAGTGAAATTATAAGTTTAATTCAAACTGTGATAACTAAATTTAGCAACTAATGTTTTAAAAATAGATTGATAATTAATTTAAAAAACACTTGATCCAATTCTTTTAAGGTATTCTTAAAAAAGAAATTCAAATCAATAGTCAAGTTTGTAATATCCCCAATTCGTCCAAATTTTTAGGAATGATAATAGATAAAAGTTTTACATGGGATGAATTTTAACTTTTGTAAGTGTCTATATATACAAACTTCTTTGTCTGGTACATAATAACAAAATAGAACTAAATACTCCGTGGGAATTTGCCTTCCAAAAAATGATAAGGTATGAAGAAATACCTACTGTGGTTAACAATGTTTAAAAATAATAAAAACTGTTTTAGAGCTATTGAACTCCAAAATTACCTAAACTGCCCCATTTAAACTGTTATTGTATAATATTTCAATCGATTTACTGCAATTCATATCTTGACAGCTTCAATATCGATGGTTTGTTTGTTGTTTCTCATTTTCCACACCCCGTCCCATATTATATTATAAGTACAAATACAGAAACTTTTGTGTAACTCATCGCATATGTTACAGTTCCGACTCGTTCTCTCGTCGTCGGGGATTTTATTTGCGGTCGTGTTGGCTACAATGGACACAAACACCAGGGGCGTTGTGTTGTCACGATAATGATTCAATTTGAGGCTCGGTTGCCCTTTTGATATTTTCGACGAGAGCACATCTGTCCCTGCCCAGAGCCGAGCTCATCATGCTAATGAATACAAATTTGGTGCGTGAAAAGGATGGAGCAGTTGCATAACCCCTTCTTGTGCAGTTATTAATGGAAAATCAACGAAATATTTTTATCTGTGGTGTAAAAAGTAATCTTAAAATGGTGTCAAAATCCAACACCAAGTGGTGTTAATATAACACCATGAATTATGGGTGAAAATGTGCACCGATCGCGGCAAAGGCGGTGTGGATCACGTGATGTTCTTAAATCTCGCCTCTGTTGACTTACATGAAGAATATATAAACTCAGGTGGTCCTTTGCTTTGGTGTGACACTACAAGTTGTTCGATACAAAAGAGACCTTAAATAGGTGGAAACAGCTGTCAATATTTTAAGTTAGTGGAACGCACTAAAAACATTATCTCTATAGCGAGTTGAAGGTTCCATTCTCTGGAATAAAACCACTAGTAATATACTAGTAATGCGTCAAGGAACTTCCTGTTTCCTTTTTTTTTCATTTTTTCTGTGTAGTATGATTTAATTTGACCACAAACACATAATATTTAACACTGAAAAGGAGTTCAATTTACACCAGGTAAAATTTATTTTAATACTGTGTGAAAGTTAAATTAACACCATTTTAGTATTTGAATTTACACCGGCCAACGAACCATATTTAACACCATTTTGGTTTGTATCGATATAGACCATGTATGGTGTTAATTTGGTGTTTTCATGACCATTTTAATTTTGAACAGTGTACTTACTTGCACTCTGCTTTCCGGTAGGTTGATTTTAAGGGCCACCTCCTCGCGCATGAAGATGTCTGGGTACCTGGTTTTGCCGAACAAGTTTTCCAGGATGTCGAGTTGAGCCCTGGTGAAAGTGGTGCGCTCCCTTCGTTGCTTCCTAGGGTTCACGCCTGCAAAATAGGAATAAACTAAGAATTATGCTATAGCCAGTTTATTTTCCAACAACGAAAATACATCCGCATTAAAAATATTTCAAGTTGGTAACTTGATGATGATAAAGAATCAAAGGTCGTTTTCAAAAAACACCCGCCTTCCGCTGTCCGTAAGTTTAAATTCCAATAACTTTGTTAAAAATTATCGGATTTTATTGATTTAAAAACCAAGTGAAAGCCTTAGTAAACTCTTTCAGAAAATGTTTGTTTAGTTATTTCAGAATAATTTTTTTTTTAATTTTGAAACTTGTGAAACACACATTTTCGCATGTCCCATTAGCGTTTTATAAAACTTACATACATGTTTTTTTTTTAATATTGAATAACCAGAACTGTGTTGCTTTATAGCAATCCATAACATCCTTAATAAATACAGTAAACTATTTATATGTAAATTAATTAATTTTAATCTACTTTTTTTAAATTTGACTCATGTCCCAGACATTTTTTCCGTTGCGTTACGTCCGTCGCGTTACCGATAGAATATTTAAAAAAACATATATGGCAACTTTTTTGGCACTCACGTGATCAACAAATGATGTTCAGACGTACACATTACCCAGCTGAATTTATTTATTCAATCAGGAAGAAGATATCGGTTGAAACAGGTGCGGGTAACGCGAATGTTATAATTGTTTGTCCGCTAAGTTACTCAAAAAAAAATAATAAAAATAAGGTAAGAAAAAATACTATTTTTCATGTTTATGTTTATTTTAGGGCACTAAAGCTCATTGAGAGTAATTAATGACTGTAATGTCTTATTATTATTTATTAAATATGGTTTCACAAAACTTTCCACTGCGTCACCGAGTCCACTACGTTACCTTATGGTAACGCAATGGAATTTAGGGTAACGCAATAGAATTTTTTGACAACAAAGTGAATATTTACCGTTGCTTTTATTAAAAGTAGTTTATGATAAACCAATTTAAAATTATTTGTGATTACAACTCATGATATAGATTACAACCAAGGGAAAATTCCACGCAATATACAAGTACTAAAAGGGACGAAAGACCTTAGTCAAAGAAAAAGGGTGTCTATAATTTAGAAATCTAAGTTGTTATTCTGCAAGTGAGCACCACTACAAGGGATTTTGTTTATGCATTACTCTAAAATCGTACCACCCTTTATAGTTTCTTTTTTACGTTATCTAATTAAGTCCTTTGTGTACCCCAGTCCGTTGTGATACCAATGTCTATTTTGTTACTTTTTTTAGTTTTTGTTAAAAAAAATACCTAAAATGATTTTACTATCACTTGGTAATACCTGTTTATAAATTAGAGTTTCACTAATACAGTGACTAAAAGAAAATATTAATGGTATTGTTTTTTTAACAAAGAATCGGAATGGTTTCTTTTAAAATGTAACTTAACTAACATAAAAATTAAAAAAAAAAGCATACATTTTATGTTAAATTATTTTTATAACAACTTTTTTTATTGAATTAAATTTTGGATTTCAGATTGGTAACACAGTGGAGATATATAAAGCTAGCTAAACACATTTTTCTGAAAAAAACGTAAAAAAAAATTATAAAGTGCACTGCCTGTTTTAAATGTAAGTAAACAAAACTCTAAACATTTATAAAAATCCAACCAAATCAATATAAGCAAAAAAAAATTTTCCTGAAAGCGGTTGTTTCTTGAAAATGACCCAAATATCATGATCAAAGGTAGAGTGAAAATGTTATAGAAGAGGAATTTAAGCTTGTCGTTATTTTAACTCGTCCACATTATGATATAAAAAGTGCTCTTTTATATAGTTGATCATTTCAAAGGAGTTTTAATAAAAATAATAAAGGAAAAACCCGAAATTTAGTATGATATCGTAGACGCGACTTTGTGGTTTGATATAATCCTCTGGGCCCAACGTCGACAAAAATAAAACGAGCTCTTTTGTGCACCTGGTTGGGGCCTTTTCCTTTTAATTTTTAAGCCCAAATAACGCATTTATCACGCTCGCTTGACGTATATTCGTTAATTTGCATTTGAAATTGTATTCCGGTAGCTCGAGCTGAAAAATCAACTTAACAAATCATCGAAATTATTCTCCTTCGGGCATTTAAAACAGTCACGAGCATCAGCAACGCAGCGGCTTTACTTTAAGTAAATTATGGCCTTATTTTTCGGGCGTTCTTAATGTTTATACTCTGCTAGGCGGTAATACCGGTAGCCACTCTCTTGATTTGTCCACTTTCGTGGATCTTCGACATCAAAAGGTTTCGGCGGCTGTTGATGTTTTTCTCAATCTAAATTGTAAATTTAACGGTACGAAACTCGGTGTAAACTTGCAAGAGAAAATTGTCGAATTTACGTTACGAAATTTCCTCTCTAGCGCCAGATAAAAGCGGAATTTGTGAAAAGCGTGACCATAGCAACAGTGTCACCCACCCACCCCGGTAATCGGCTTTAAAGAGGGCCACGACACAGCAGCGGCGGCGGCAACGTTGCTAAGAGTGGAGATACTCCTCACGGAGTTGCCACGTCAATTGGAGTCAAATTACTCTCAACTCCCAACGGTGTGCTGATACAAATGAAGCAACAAAGTTTTCTTATTGTGTTTTTAATAGAAGTTATGTTTGTATCTTTTTCAGAAATATATTTGAAACCTTCCCAAGTAACACTAATATTGCTCTTAATGCGATCTCCAAGGTCGCTTTAAAACTATATTAAAACCATTTAGTTTTAATTTTATATTCTTAAAAAGCTCTTCAAGGTAATTTTAAATGTATGTATTAAAACTTATTTTCATTTAAAATATACTTGCAGCAGGCTAATTTACCTTAAGAATCAATATAATTAATCCTAAAAGGGTTTTATTTTGTTTACTAAAATGGGACAACTTTTGTCGCACGAGGACAAGGAGCGAGTTTTGTAATGGACGAGTGCGACAAAAGGTCTTATTACATGAGTTATTTATTCTATTTTATCTATTTTGCAAAAATTCTATACAAAAATTAATTTATACCTTATATTTAATTTGGTCGAATTTTACTTTAGATAGTTGGTATCACAGTCATTGGTTTGAATTGTTAATGTCAAATTTGATTCGCCATGGCGTCCTTAATTTACTTATTTACAATAAGCGGCTGTTAATGTTAAAGAAGAAAAAAAGGATTTTCTTTGGTGTCAAACAAAATTTATTTCCAGAAAAGTCTCGTAAGTACTAGAAAAATCATAAAAATATTATAACCAATATGCAAAATATTATTGGTGTTACAATGAAGTCATTATGAACGCAAAATAGATAAAATACTTTTACATAGCGCCTTCAATTTAATGTTTTCTTTATTTTTTTAAAAAATCGTTAAATTTTATTTTGCATCTAACCATCTAAATGCTTTTTTTATTTAATTGCATGTTTGGACACACAATAATATAATTTTTTCTTTGGCTATTAAAAATATCCATCATGGTGGAGTTTGTAGTTTATATAAAATATTTCGCGATCTAGATTAAAACTGATTGCAAGTTTATAGAATATTTTAAATCTTAGAACAGCGTTTTATTGACCACTTTAAGTAAAATTACTCTTGCCAACCTCTATTTACTCTTCATTTTAAAATTAAGTTGCTAAATATTAAAATATGTTTTAACTCATGGCCTTTAAGCTTTAAAACATTCTTTATACCATTTAAAACGTAAAAATTATGCTTTTGGCTTTAAAGTGAAATTTAATTGAGCATACCACCTAGGCCTAAGATAAAATATTTTTTTTTAAATGCATTTTTTTAAAACCAACTTGCTATTTAATCCTTTTTAAATATCCAATGTTGAAAATTATTTTATAATCTCAATACAAAAATACAAAAGTATTAAATAGTTTCTCAACGCCAATATTTGAAAAGTTTATATGAACATTGTACTGACCTTTTAATTTCGCCGGCAGTAAACTATTACTTAAATACGGACACGGACTCCACTGTAAAGTCCTCATAAAACATTTTCTTTACTTTCACTGTGAAAAACTGTCATTTTCAAGAAATACATTTCGATTTATAACCTTTATAATCTGTGTTTATAAAATATAAAAATGTGACATTTGACGGTGACACACAGATTCCCCAATATATTGTTTCATAGATGGCGCTCTATACAAATTTTCTATACAAATTTTATATGTATAATGCCGAGGTGCATATTAAATTTTATCCGAAATCACATTTAATAATACTAATAATAATTATTAATATTGATGATTAAATCAAATGTCATTTGTCATTTTTTTAAATATTATTTAGTTACTGCTGGGGAGCAGTAGACACATCTTTAAATGTTTATTGGGTTGCATACAATACTCGTCTTAAATCGATTACTGCCGATTTCGGATCTTACAATCGTTACTTGGGTTTTTATGTTAGCTTCTCGTCATTTTATTTTTTAGCTTGTCGTCACTTAAACTGTCATCATTTTAACTTGTCATTTTAGCCTGTCAGAATTATTTTGGGATGTCCCTTTGGCAATGGCTTTTTCGGACACCTTGTATAAGCTGGGCAGATGTTATTTCTATTCGGTTGGCTCCCCTTTTCCATGTCGACATTTATCGGGGATTATTTTTCGACATGCATTTCTCCAGTGCTCCGGATTACCGTGTGGGCTAAAAAGCCTCTCCACGTTTTTCGCTGATCAATAGTTTTTAATGCTCCTTTTTGCAAGATGAAGAGAACGTCGTCAGGCAAATCAAACGAAAATTGAATCCGTACTCCTTTGTGGAATCCGGATTTTTTTCGTTTGAAGCAGTAACTGAGTTGAAGGAATCAATGCTGAAGTTTTAAATTTTTGATCTATAGATACGGACTGATTTTATATTATAACTTAATGCGTTTTCGAAATCAATGATTCAGGGATTGTTTTCTATTTCAGCGTCATCAAATTGAAACGTAAAATCTGAAACTCCCCTCTCGCAACTAAATGAATTGATGGTGTTAAAAAACGGAGCGTGCAGCGTCGGGAAATTAATAGGACCGCAATGTTTTGGGAATTGCGACAGCTGACGGAGATTTGCGACGTCGGGGTGACAAATTCAATCAGGATTGATCATATTTTAACCATGAGCAGAGCGCTTCAATTTGCATTTTTGGATGGATTGTCATCAAAAGTGCAAATGTGGAAGTAGAATAATGAATACTAAATGATATGGTAAGTGATAGTTTGTATACATTTTGTCTAAATTTAAAAAAAACTCGGAAGTAGTTAAGGCAACCCAATTAGCACAATAACAAAAAAATTTACGTAATTTACGTAATATTGTGCTACAACGTTAATTTAACCTTAAATTAACGTTATTTGGTAGTCAAAAATGACTAATTTAATAGTTATTAGTGGCTGCTTTTTCACTTGTACCATGGTTAACCATGGAATACCATGGTATTCCAAAATTTAACATTTTGTTATTATGTAAAATTGTCCCTTGAAACCGAAAATACCGTCAAAAATTATAAAAGTGGAGCAGTTTTTGAGATATAGTCAATTCCATATTAAATAAAAAATTGACTACATCTCGAAAACTGTTCTACCTTTTTAACTTTTGACGACATTTTCGGATTCAGGGGACAATTTTACATAAGAATTGGCTGTTAAATTTTGGGATACCATGGTATTTTATAGTTAACCATGGTACAAGTGAAAAAGCAGCCACTAATAACTATAATAAATTAGTAATTTTTGACTAATTCATTTTAGAGAGTACGTAATTTACGTAATATTGTGCTACAACGTTAAATTAACCTTAAATTAACGTTACTTTGTAATAAGTGGTGAATTCAATTATGGTAAAATTAACGTTATGCAGGGCTCCCACGGTTAAATTACAAATTTTATTTAGGAATTTAGGAGGTTTTTTGGAGAATTTTAGGAGAATTTTAGGAGAAAAAAGTATGCAAATGAATTTATTTAATTAAATAAAAACAACTTTACACTATACTTAAAAAATAAGAAAAAAATTCTTTTTAACAAAAATATAAATAAATATCACTACAAATAGGTTATATTGACTAGTTTTTTAGCCAAATCGCTCGACGAGTTTTTTTTATAATAAAATGAAAAGTGAGGTAAAATTACTACTTTTGTATATGTCTGCAAGTAAAAATTTCACCCCACTTTTAATTTTATTTAAAAAAAGCGTCGATAGATATGGCTAAAAAAGTAGGCCAAAGTTTAATGATGTTATATTTATATTTTGAAGAAAAAAAATTAACAGTTTAGTTAATAACTACCAATAATCGTAATGTTATTGTTACTAAAAAATCTCATAATAGAAAAAATATAAAGTGCATGATTACAGCAAAACATTCTTTAGATTGTTTACTATTTTAGCTATCATTTAAAAGAAAATTAAAAATCCTTTTGTTTGATATATAACACGGTATATTTTTGTTGAAAATTTACGAAATATGGCTAAAAATGACAATTTTGTAGAAGTCTAGAAGCTACTACGTGGATTTTGTTTTATGGTATATTTTGTTGTTTTTTAAGAAAAATGTAGGTTGTGATACCTATATCATTTTAAAAAGAGTTTAATAAACTAGAACCCAAAAATATATAAGAAAAAATTGAACCTACACCTAGCCAAAGTTTTTTGTTTTGAATGCGTTCCACCAACTTCAAATACCGACAGACAGCTGTTTCGACCTTTATTGGGTCTCATCAGTGTCGGGCAACTTGGTGTAGTGGAACACAATCAAAACAAATTACTCCCTGAGCTTATATGCTCGGTTGTTAAGTCAACAGAGGCGAGATGTAAGAACATCAGGTGATCCACACCGTCAAACGACGTGGCCTTTGCCGCAATCAATTTTTTCTTATGAATATTACCAGTGATGGGTCAAGAAAGTTTCTTAAAGAAACTAAGAAAATTGAATGTTTACCAAAAATATATATTTTTTAAATTACTTTTTAAAAAAGAAATTTTTTAGCACAACTACCTTAATTAAACCGAGTCAAGTTGGCCTACTTATATTTAATTTTTAGGAGTTTTAGGAGATTGATGGCAATTTTAGGAGAATTTTAGGAGTTTTTAAGATTTAAGCCAAATTTTAGGAATTTTATGAATTTTAGGAGGTGTGGGAGCCCTGGTTATGTTGGTTAAATTTAACCTATGGTAAAAAGAAGTTAATATTTGGTAGTTTTTGGTTTATTTCACCCTTTTTAACTATTTTTTAACTCTTAAGTCAACTCTATTATAATTATAATTTACCAAATATGGGTATGTATAACTTTAGATATGATAAAGAGATAGGTAGTTCCAAGTGAAAAAGCAATGGGACATTTTTTTCTGATGAAGGAGTATATATTACTTTCATATTTTAAATGCGCTTTGAAAAAAATGAGACATTAAGAAAACAATATTAAAAAAAATATTTTATTTTTCCTATTTTTTCTTTATTTCGTTTGAAATTGATTTAAAATACTTTTAAACATAAAATAATATTATGTTTTATTATTTGTTTGTTAAAATGGACAGCAAACAATATGGCGATTTTAGGATGCTTTTACTTATTGGTCATTATATTATAACCAATATACATTAACCTGCAAGTGTATTTAAACCATTTGGTTATTTTATTGTGTTTAATTTAACTACTTTATTTACCTATCGGTAATTTATAACTCTTTGATTTTGGTTGAAATTAAACAAAAAGTAATATCAAAAGTTAAACTAAACCAAAATATCTAGTTTTAACCATTTTCAAAGATTAAAATTAGAAGTTAATATAACCTTAAATTTAAACTTATATACGAGTATAAGTAAAATTTCTTACTAGTTAAATATTTTAAAATAACCTTAATTTACCTATATGTAGTTAAATTTAGTTTATTTCAAGGGTTTAAATTGACTATTAATAAACTAAATAATAACCTAGTTAGTAATATTACCAATAGGTTTTTTTATTAGTTAAATTATACTAAAAAATAACCTTTGAATTTGTCTTAAGGTTATAGAAACCGGTTGGTAAATTTAGAGGGTTATTTTTTACTTTATAGTCGAACACTACTAATTGGTTAAAAACAAGTTAAATATTTGGTTTATTTGTCTTGAAATAACTTTAATTTACCTATACCTAGTTAAATTTAGCCTAAATTATTTAGGTTATTTTAAGAGTTTAAATTGAATATAAATAAACCAAATAATTAACTAGTTAATTATATTACCAATAGGTTTCTTTAATTAGTAAAATTATACTAAAAAATAACCTTTGAATTTACCTTAAGGTAGAAACCGGTTGGTAAAATTAGATGGTTATTTTTTAGTTTACCTAGGTATAGTAACCTTAAAAAATGTGAATGGTCGAACACAACTAATTGGTTAAAAAACTTAGATTTTGGGGCTACTTGGAAATATACAGTGTCTCATATGTATAAAATTAGGGAAACGATTTGGTTCAATTCAATTCAGGAGCATGTTCGGGCGATAAAAAGCAAACAAACAAGACCGTTTCCGCCCTACCTCGAAGGGAAAATATATCATGTCGCCTTCTTCAAACACTCGTGGTCGGGAAAACACGAAAAGGCTCTATTGGAGTGGCGAAAAGCGGGGGCGATCTGAAAGAGAATTTCCCTCCTCGATATTTTGCCGGCAATGAATACATCGGCGCGCTAATAGATTTGTAAATAAATTCTTCCGAGGGGCGCAGGATATTTGATACGGCAATCTTAAAATCACCGGAAAATTTATCAACTCTATTAGAAGTAATTCGATAAAAACAAATTTAGAGAGTTCCCCCCTCAAGTTTATAATGGGAAACATTTGTTTTGAATCAGTAATTTTAACTCTATATATAGAGTTTAAGTTTTCATAACAAAATATTATGTTTACTTTCCGACGCCTCGCGCCCTCCAATTTTGGACCTTCGAGCCGGATCACGTTTTTGTTTTATTATTATCACGAACAATTGATTTCCCCTATGTTTTTTGTTGCGTATAGAGTTTTGGGAATCCTGATATTTAAGTATCATTTCGTCTGTGACGTAAGGTTTCTTTACGCAATGTATACCACGTCGTTTGTGCCCTTTTAACTAACTGTCAACAACCTCAAAAAACTTGCTGGGCACTCTATGTTACATTTTCTTTTGTCCGCTTATAAAAAAAATAATTGACATCAACAATAGCGAGATGTACATACATCTCGCTATTGTTGATGTCATTTATAAACTATATAAACTACAGTTTCAACCATCATGTTTATTAATTTGAGTAATTACCTTGGGGAAAGGCGACTGGTTCCAGGGGATGAGCTAGTCCGAAGTGGCCCAGGGGCGCCATTCCCATGGTGGGCAGGGCCCCACTCAGCCCGCTGTGGCTGGGGAAGTGCCCGGGCCCTTTCAGGTATCCAGCCATGTTCATCGGGTTGAACACCGATGAATACCCGCTGCTACGGTCCTCACCCGGTAACGGAGACGTCTTGAAGCCGGTTCTAACTAAAAAGAAAATAAATGTCAAAAAATTGTTCCGAAATATTGCAAAACTTGTGCTTGTTTTTGAAACTTGAGTCGTAAGATTAAAATCTAAAAGTTTCTATGCAAATTTCTAGGTACCCAGTATTTTTATCTAGCCGATTTCAAAAGGGCGTTTTCTTCAAAAAACCGTTTTAAAAAAGATTAAAAATAATACCACTAAGGGCACACCGACAGCCACAATTCCAACAATGGAATAATCTTTTTTACCGAGAAATGTTATAAACAAATTGTAGACAATACAATTTATTAATAATAGAACCAATGAAATGTCTAGAACTGCATAATTACCATGGCGATAATATTGTTTTTTTCATATATAATGATAACCATTATAACCGCCGCCCTTAACAATGGGAATAATAAACTGATTATTCACGTTGTTGGGACGATTTCTATGATTTGAACCAATCGGGATTTAAATCAGAAGTGGGGTTAAATCTGACTAATAACTGTAGCAACTTAACAATTTGTATCCCGGAAATTTAACAGCCAATTCTTATGTAAAATTGTCCCCCAAAAATTATGAAAGTGGAGCAGTTTTTGAGATATAGTCAATTTTCCATATAATATGGAATTGACTAGGTATATCTCAAAAACTGCTCTACTTTAATAATTTTGAAGGTATTTTGGAATCAGGGGACATGGTATCGCATGTTTAAGAGAAAAAGCAGATAAAAGTAATCTCTTGAAAAAAATTATGAAAGTACAGCAGTTTTTGAGATACAGTAAATTACATAATTAATGGAAAATTGACTTTATTTTAAAACACTACTTTTATAACTTTTTGACATTTTCAGATTTAGCAGACAATTTTTAGAGAGTGTTTTGGACATTTAATAAAACTTTTGGGCACGTTTTTGTCAAAAACTTTTAACAATGTAAAATCTGCAGTTCGATTTTAATTCCAAAATATCATTGATGATAATCATACCACTTGTTATGAATGAGCATAAATATTATTATTATTAGCTTTTGCAAATTTAAAAACAAAATAAAGGTAACATGACATTTTGCTTACAGAAACTTTTTTTAATGACAATAGGTATTTTAAATGTAAAAAAATGTAATTGAATACTTTTTCATAAACTTTTACTAATAAAACAGCAGAAATGTAGGTAATCCTTTTATATCAATATATTCTAACCAATTAGTAATTAAATACATGTACCCATTTTACCGATTGCAACCAAATAATTAATTAAATAACTATATAATGTAATACATGAAAATAAAAAATAACAAATGGTTCAAATAAATTTATATCAAAGTTTTAATTGACAAATAAGCCCTTATTATATATCGTCGCCTTCAGGAGAAAATCACGTAACTCCACATTTTCATTAAAATTGTATTTTAGTGGCATCTGTTAGATCAAACTGTAACTAATTTATATGCAAGTTACAGAAGTCCTAAAATAAACCGTTAATTTTAAATTTAGAAAAAGAAATATACGTATCTCCAATCGTGGAGGAGCGTCCAGGGAATAATGCCTAACTCCAATATACAAATCAGTGCCATTGACAAGTATAAGTTATTGCCTAGTTATTTTTTCTGTATGTAAGTATGAAAGATTGTATAGTGTGTAAAGTTAAGGTACCATGAATAATTTAAGGTTACTTTTATTAACATAAAGTACATATTGGAGATACGTAATTTTCCATTAAACAATTTTTTGGCGGTAATGTGGAGATACACCAAAACACCTTTAATATGTTTTTCTTTCCTCCTGTAAAATTTTACAACATGGAGTTAAGCAATTTTCTCCTGAAGGCGACGATATATTACTAGCAAATATAGAAAAAAGTAGTGTTTTTTCTAGTTAGTCAATTAAGTTAATATGGGTAGTTTATTATAATTATCACTATTAGGTATGGTGTTTTATTTTAGAATTAACCACTAATTAAATTGTTTCGTAAATGATAAAACCATTTTGAAATATAAAAATGTTCCTTAGACCCCTAACTCTTTAAAAAAAATTAAAAACGCACCTTTTCTTTATAAAATAATCCTTAATGTAGTGCACAATAATTTCACTTTATATCACAGTCAAATATCACTGAAAAACTTTGTAGCGTATAGCACACACAGGTGACTATTATTACTGAACGATCGTAGCACGTGATGATAACAGTCGAAAGAGCGTGACGTCACACGGTCGCTTCGCCTACTAGATGCTGCCTCTTGTCCGAGGATTAAAAATGGACTGATTGTAGATCTACGAGTTACCGGATGGTTTATCTAAAAAGAGGGTCACTGTTGAGGTAGACGCACGAAACGGGTAGTAGGGGGGTGTGTGCCGTCTATTGTTGTTAAGGGGTGGGGGGCGGGTCGCAGCCCACCCCGTTTGTTTGTACGGGGCGATTTTTTCACCATTGCGATTATTTGGTGTCTATGCTGGCTTGGCTTTTTAATCGCGATCGCTTTTTAAGACGGGATTATCTAATGTAAGACGATTTTGTTCGCAAACAAATTATTAGGATTTGTGGCGATTCAAATCACTTTATTAGGTGACCAAATTGTTGATACTTTTAAGTAGGTTTTTGTTTTATGGAGTATTTACTCTCTAAAAATGAATTAGTCAAAAATGACTAATTTAATAGTTATTAGTGGCTGCTTTTTCACTTGTACCATGGTTAACCATGGAATACCATGTTATCCCAAAATTTAACAGCCAATTCTTATGTAAAATTGTCCCCTGAATGTCGTCAAAAATTAAAAAAGTAGAACAATTTTTAAGATATAGTCTATTTTTCATCTAATATGGAATTGACTATATCTCAAAAACTGCTCCACTTTCATAATTTTTGAAGGTATTTTCGGATTCAGGGGACAATTTTACATAATTGTCTGTTAAATTGGTATTCCATGGTTAAATTAGTCATTTTTTACTAATTCATTTTTAGAGAGTAAGGAGTCGTAAATATAAATTTTGACTCGCGCAGATGTTCTGAGTGCCATTTTGACAATTTTTATTTGATTTTTTTGAAATTTTAACACAATAAAGTAGAAAGATGAAGCCACAAAATTTTGTATTCAATCGTACAAAAATGTTTTATGCTAAAGCACTTTGAATTTCCAATTTAGGGTGAAAAGACTTTTATTTTATTAAAAACAGAATTTTTAAGGGGAATAACTTTATGAATAATATTATGTATAATTTATTTTTTCTTTATTTAATCAGGACCCGTAGCTACATAACCAATGATCCTCGGTTAAAGTAAATGATTAACAAAATATATTTACGAATTTTAATGTTTTTAATGTCTGGAAAACAAGAGCTAAATGTCATTTTTGGAATCAGAGCACCCAAATTACCCTAGAAAACTGGTTGACAACCATGTGGCAAAATTGGTGTCGACCAGTGTAATTAACTATAGGTAATGAAACTTTTGACAAAATTGGGTAATTAACTTTACCTTATAAGGTAAAGTTAATTATCCAATTTAGTCAAAAGTTATACTTGTTATGTTTTGTTCAAATAATAGGCCTTTAATTTAAAAGTTGGGGGGGCCTCCTCCCTGCTACGTCCCTGAACATACAAGTTAAATGACAAATTTAATTAATATTGAGTGTTTTAAGTATTTAAACTCTTCAAATTACACATAAAATATAAATTGTAATAATAGTATTATGTAGTAAGTGAATAATAATCGTAAAGCTATAAGCCTAGCTTATAAGAGTCAATCTAGTTGATCCGCTTGCTTCTCAATTGAGCGTTTTATTATTTGGAGTAGTGGCTAAATAAATAGCTTGCTAATAAAACTAAATCGTCTTAAGTACATTAGATTATCCGTCTTAAAAAGTTATTCATAGCGACGAGACTTAAAAAAACAAGGTTATTCCGTTATGTAGGTCGCTAGGAACTGGAAATGTTGCGCTTAAGGGAAGCAAAAATGCCTATAACAATGATAAAAGGATTTGTGGATGGAAAGGAAGTGGCAGTGTCCTTTATAATGGGGTTAAAATCAAGGGAATAACTTTAGATTACCAGTATGCCTGACTTTTCCAACTCTTAAAATTGTCAATAAATAAACTAGGTAAATTAAAAATATCGATATTTAAACTTAAAAACCTATTTTGGTGGCAGTTCAAACCTTTTTAGTTTTTATCACTCTTGATAGATATATGTTAGGGAAACGAAATCTAGAGGTAAATTACAGTTTTATTTCAATAAATAAATGATAAACTTACAAGTTGTATACAATACCTATATATACATTCATAAGAATGATCAATGTAAAGCATATACTTTAATTTCTTTGGAATGCTTTAAATGTATTTATCTTTTAGAATAAACTTCATAATCAAAATTGCTTCAAGAGCATTCAAAAAACATAAACATAAAAAGCAGATAGGATTCCACTGTTTAAAAAATGTGCTTTGAAAGAATCCAGTCGACATAATAAAAATTTTTGTTTGCCACAGGGTTGCCAATTTGCGTGAGCTAATTCCAAAAATAACAAGAGATACAAGGTCGGTTGAATTAGAAAAAAGTTCCGTAACTACATGATATAGTCAATTTTCCATATAATATGGAATTGACTATATCCCAAAAACTGCTCTACATAATTTTCGGATATAGGGGATGATTCTACATAAAAACTGGCCATTAAGTTTAGGTATACCATGGTTAACCATGGTATACTTATATATAAGTGAAAAAGCAGCCACTAATAACTGTAGTAACTATAGTAACTAGTCATTTTTGACTAATTCAGATAAGATTTTTGACTAATTCAGTTATGATTACGATATGATAAGCGTCGTAAATTCAGTATACGGATATCAGGAAATTTTCAGTAAAATTGACTTTTGCATTTTCTTTAAATAAAATGAAAAAAATGCAGTCAAGAATCTCAATTTTAAAAAATGTATCTACATTTTCAT